AATAACATTGCTGCAGCAGGAAGTCTGCTTGTCATCCAGCAGCATCTCACCCTATCATCCGCCCATTCATTATCTCGAACCGTAAATAGCATTTAAAATTATTTAATATTCACTTTACAGAGTGCCATGGCAACAGCTGTTTCTCCAGTGGCATTAATATTGCCTCTCCTCTGAAGTCACAAGCCTGACTCTGGAAACACAAACACCTGTGGAGAATCGTGCTACATGGGCTCCACCTAGTGGTACAAAATGGGAACTCAAAGAGCACGACAACTCTGACACTGCAAAGATAGACTTACGATCAACTTATTGGTCAATTAATCCTATAATGGCCTATCTTTGAGAAACTGTTTCCAATCAAGTAACTTTACAAACTGAACAATACAAATCAACTCTCGGAGCCTACAAGCCACAACCTATGATCCATTTCAGATAAAACTGTGGGCATAGAAACAGGTTGGGGGGGGAAAAAACCCCCAAAACAAAACAAAAAACAAAAACACACCACACTTAGAAACTTTAGAGTTACTACATGAAAACAGCACTGTCCTCAGATCGTCTAGGTTCACAGTGCTTGGCATGCATGCAAAGCACTCGCACAAAACAAAGACACATGAGTGCAGTTTAAAGAACGTCTTTAATTAAATTAGGAGTCTTATCAAAATTGTTCAAGTTTTCAGGACAAACAACAGTGCAATCATTGACAGATGAGTATCTGTACACACAAGATAGATTACTATAGTCTAAGACAAAGGCCACAGCTTCAAGTAATGTAAACAGTAACAAGAACATATATACACTACCCTGCAAAAACAACAAGCGGGGGAAATTTCATACTTTTTATATTTCAGCCCTCGACAGAGATGAAACTATATGATGTCTAAAAGTATACAAACATTTTAACAGTAAGCACCAAGTGGATGCTTTTCGGAATGTAAATGCTCCTTCTCCATTTTCATATAGGCTGGTAATGTATGAACAAACTGTTACATTAATTAATACTCTGCCATTGTGCAGTGCAACAACTCTTAAAATAACACTTTCCACATGCTGTTAAAATGCCATTTTCAGCCATTTAGGAAGTATTATTTATTACCCTTTGAAACCGGCATTATTCATTTTGTTCATTTTGCACTTGCCACCGTGCCCTTTGGAAGAATATTGTAGTGGTTTAACACAAACACTAATGTGTTCAATGTTTCTGGCCCATCACCACACATAAAGCACTTTTTTTTTTGGTCATCCACAGTTTGCACTCTTTTGCCGGTTTCTCCTTTCATTTTGTATCCATGGATGAGTCATCGAGACATTCCATTATCCTCTGCAACTCCTGTATGCAGGGAACAATTGACTGGCTATACAGCTGAGCCATCTTCATTCTAGAGACAAAAAGATTAGAGCCATCTGTTAGGGTTGATTGAAAAACATCTAGTCACACTTGCACTAATAACTCCCTGTTATATATTATTTTTTGCTCTTAAATAATCTTAAATCTATAAATAAAAGCTTTTTTGCACCAAGTTTATTTAGAGTCTACACAGTGCCAACAGAACATTAGCAAATGTTAGCAACAACCTCAGAACACAAAGTGAAGCTCAATTCACTTTAGCTGCTAAAATGACTGACAGGCGCATGGAAGAAAGTGGAGAGGCAAACACATTCGTGATCTGTGAATCGGTGTTGAAAGGTGTGTAAACTTGCACTCAACAGGTGACAGACTTCAGTAGGATGTCCATGATGCTTTGCTTAAACTTGATATTCAAGTCAATAGTTTGTTGCCAGCCCATCAGCAGAGAGGTTGCGGAAAGCCGTTGGTGTATATAAACACCACCCACATGCATGTACAAGTATTATGTAGTAACCAAACTGAGGTGTTTATAGTGCAATCCTCTGGTGTAGCGCTGCCTAAACCTCACTACAAGGAAGGGGGCGGGTGGGTGCCGTGGCATCCCGCATCAGATCAAAATGAGTGTTACCTTCTGAGCAGCTCGCGTCCTCTGTTGGGTTCGGGGGAATAGTGCTGGAGAGCGGTGAGGCTGTGAGCCACCAGGATGCTGTAACACTGCTCTCGAAGGGCGTTGTGGCTCGCAGTGTCCCACTGCGGCAGCTCACTGGTGTAACGCCACGCCATCAGTGAGTGCTCCAACACGGCGTCCCAATCTTTGTTCCTCAGCAGAACTTGGCCCCACTCCTGACACGAAACCTGAGGTGGAAGACGAGGAGGTGTTTAATGTGACATAAATGTACTTAAGAATAGCAAAAGGAAATCTCCACTGGATACAAATAGCAGCCTTAAAGAACCTACTTTTAAAGGCCTAAAAACACAACTGTGCATGACAAAGACTCACTTTGAATGCTACCAGGTGAGGGTATGCCTTTCTGTAACAGTGAGCGTCCCTGTTGGATCCAAACCGTGAGTAAGGTATGGACCTGTAAACATTGGCCTTCTTTAGCTGCAGGTCTTCCTGTAGATACTTCAGGTCTGATGCCATGACCCTGGGCTCTTGGCTCTAGGGTACAACAGGAATGCACGCCTTGTTAAATTATGTCAATCGCAGCATTTCTTCAAAAACATTGCCACATTAGCTTTACTATAAGCTCAATTGTCCACTGATGAATACCTGTTCGACCAAGATGAGGGATCTAATGAGCTGCACAAGCTGCTGTTTGGAGAGCGGTGTGTGGTGCTCATCCATCTTCTCACACTGCTCCTCTAGCCTTCCTCTCCACGCTCCACCAACTGCCAAGTCCACTGCAAAACCAGGGAACACCAAGCAAAGTTAGCCCTTAACTCCCTTTCTATTATCAAGCGCGTTTTGTTTTTTGCCATGTAGCTTCCAATAAGGTCAGATCACAAAATCAACCGCATATCAGCTCAGCAAGTATAGCTACAATTAACTTAAGGTTAACAGCGTAACTTACATGACTGCATACGCTTTGTGCTTGCGGCTGTGTTTCTTCCTCTTGGAAGTGGGGACGGGGTCGGGACCATACGTGAACTTAATATTTCCAAGTAGGACCTCCTCATTCGAGCTGTAAAGAATTTAATATTTTTAAAAGTTGCATTGTTAAAATATTTAACATAATTTTACACTCACAGCATGATACGAAACTACCAGAAATACTTTTAATTGTTTTTTTGGGTTTTTTTTTTTCCAAATTTGGCGCTGTTATCGACAGCGCCTCGATAGCTCGAGCAGGGTGGCGCCTCTCTCCAAACAACAAGTTACACATGTTAAATGAAAAGCTAAAAACTCACCGGCAATTTTGGGCTGTGGAGCAGGTATTTCCGCCAAGGCCCGTCGTGGCTGGCACACAGCTGCCATTGCGACTTAACTTACGGTTTATAACACTCGGGGCTTACAACCTGCTTTGGCCTGGGGCGCTTCTGTTAGCCGAAATTTAAACCCCACGGAGTGGCGAACAATAACTTCTCCACGCTGGTAGCAGTTTAAACTCGGCAGCCACGAGCTTGTTCCGAAGACGTCCTCGCAGTTCTTTGAGCTCTGCCTGAGTTTAACTTGCTACACAAAAAGTTCTCCTGTCAGGTAAACCTGCTGAAACGGTGACAAAAAGACGCTTGTAACTTTTGGTTCTTTCACTTGCACACTAGTACAATGCTGATTGTGAAGCGCGCGACACGAGTTACCGCGCGGGCGTGGTTTGTGGGATTCGCTGACCTGATTGGTTAGACGTCACGACATGCTCAGAACAGGCGCCCAGTATGCAAATTAAACATACTTCTCCGTCCTGCACGTACTCTTCTCTACTTCTCTTTGGCTCTTGGGGAAAACATCACGTGAACGAACAGCCAGCTGTGGCTGAACCCAGAGCCCTTTAGGTAGTAAACTGCATGGCTTGAGACCCGCGTGCATGATACATCTCTGCCATGGACGGAGAGAGGAAGTGCAGTACATATAGCATATGTGAGGCAATGCTTACTTGTAGGCCTGTAAGAATCTTGCAGATTCGAACATTTGATATGGGGATAGTTTTGCATGGCGACCCCGAGCTTCCATTTGGTTATTATTATTATTGGTATTTTTAAATGTCATATCTCTTCTCTTACACACAGACATAGGGTTACAGAGACTATAGTACAAACAAAATAGGGTTTTTAAGGCTGACATCAATGCCGATATTTGGTGATTTAAAAATTGGATACTCCCATATATTGGCCGATTTTCTTTTTCTTTCCAATACACAAAACACAAGTAGATTTCCCGACTGTTCTCTATCTGTAGTTATTTACATACTGATCGCCTGGTTGTTGTTTTTGTAGTATTACAAACTTGTATTACCAACTAGGAAGTTGCAGAGTGACCTCTGGTGGACAAACTATGCAACAATTGGGGTCAACGCTCACCATATGTTTGACGAGTGTTTCTCCTGTCTCTTCTTTACTTTTTAATTTCCATTTATGGGTCAGTACCGATAACACCAGCTGCTGCTATGGGGTTCTAATAGAGACACTTGGTTAGCTTTTGACCAAAGTCAAAGTGGACTAGAAGGATACTGCCGGCACATTAACCTGGGTTCTCTGCTGGAAGGTCCGTTTGTCTCAGCAGGATGAAACTATCTCTCCTCTTCTCCAAAAGTTGATTCTATTCATCTGGATGTAGTGTTTTCAGTGGGAGAAACGTTTCGTCACTCATCCAAGTGACTTCTTCAGTCTCAGCTGACTGCAGGTTTCCCCAATCTTATAAACAGTACATTTGCATAATGACTGAAACTAGCACCACTGAAGGAACAATGGGCAAATTCTCATGACCATTGATAAACAACCACTGATCAAAGCCCACTGATCAAAGCCCACTGATCAATGGCCATGAGTACCATTCACAGAGAGTTGGGGAATGGCTGCAATCACAGCATTGCAAGATGGCAAAAGATGTACCCTTAAGCCCCCTCCTCGATTCAGATATGGTCTTTCCCTTTTCACGTAAATGGCCTCCTTGACTCCCTGCTCAAACCAGCGTTCCTCCCTGGAACAGAATCAACTTTTGGAGATTTACTTACCTGGATGATTGAGCATGCATTAAGATAACACTCCTCTTCTTCTTCTTTTGGCTCCTCCCCTTAAGGGTAAACACAGCAAGCCATCTGCATCCATTCACCCTATCCCTAGCATCGTCTCCTGTCTGTACCAGTTGATTGTTGATGCATGTATGTCAAATTACCTGTAATATATAGCAATGCGCTTTAACACCAAATCCATACCTCCTCAACTGATATAAAGACTGAAATATTACTGTGAAAAGACAACTTAAAATTTCGACTGTGTGAGAGAAATATCAGGAAAATGAGTAGTTTTACACTAGACATTAGTTTAAATAGATTCACATTTCACTGTCAGTTTAAAAAGGGGGGTATTTTAATATATCCCCCAATTAATCACATGTAAACTGACAGACAGTACCTTTTATGAAACAGACATTAAAATAAATGGCTGTTGATTTTAGGATGGCAAACTTTACAAAACAAATCACAGCATGATTGCATGGTGTAGTAACTCATTCAAACCAAAGATGCATGGAATAAGACAAGTTTTTCTGCAAAATATCTTTTAATAGGTTGGTGGGTTGCTGAAAAAAAGCAGTGATTTCTTCTTTGTTGAGAGACATAACCACATCTTGATACACGGCGTGGTTTAGTAAATCATTCACACACAAAACTCATTCCAAAAGCGATGGTAATAAAAAAACAAACTAAGTTTAGCAAAGTTTATATTTGATGTTGGGGGAAATTATATATTTCTTTTTTTAAGTATATATATATATAACAAAATAATCTAAGTGGTAGTAGATTAGTGGTAGAATACAAAGCGGTTGTGTGAATGAAGTGCAATGTTTAGTGTAACCTGTATGTTCAACACTTTTACTGAATTTTCCAGTCATCTTGTAAAATAAACAAAAACCAAAGAAAGAAAAACAAGCATCATAATATAATCTGTTAAAATCAGCTCACTGTTACACAGTCATTTTAGAGCATTTAAATATAACTATACCGCTTCCTCACTGGACTGACAATGAAACTTGTTTTTTTACTTACATGTCTAGAGGTACATTTTCTTTTAAAATAAATACAGTTATTGTAAAACTGCTGCTCGTGAACTGATTGAACTGAAAGTGAAGTCACCCCTAGCCCTGCACAGTATCAAAGCAAATTAACCCTCTCCAGGCAGGCGTTGCTGATTTGCAACATTTAAAAACTAACAACCTGATTACCCCACATACATATTTTATGAGTTTTTTTTACTCAGATGTACCACTGCAGGACTTGGTTGTGCATTAGCAACAAAAAGTTTAATCTGAGCCTGAGAGGGTTAAACTGAATACTCGATGGCTTCTTGAAACTGCTACAGTAAATTTGATAATTAATTATGTACATTATATACACATTTTCTAAATAACTTACATAATGCACACTTAAAAGGGTATAATTTCTATTAGGTACATATCATATTACAAAGGTCTGTGACAGTATGGCTTTGTAAATATGCATTACAATATTGTCATCAGAAAAAAAGCAAGTGCAGTCAGAGGACTCTTTAAGCATCTTATACATCTATTCATTGTAAATGTTATGTAACTTTAATGTTTAGTCTAACTCCTGCCTTTTGCTTTTTAAACTTTGATATGGAGACAGCTCTAAACCTTTATGAAAAATACATGACTCTTACAGCTGACTCAAAGACGACAAGACGCTTAAAGACATACTCCCGCTGACAGCAGAGGCCACACTATAAATTATAAGGAGTAGCCTCTACTTGCTAAGCAGCGTTTTAAGGGAGCGGGTGAGTGCGTTAGCAATGGCTGACATGGTACTAGAGTGGCGGACCAGGGCTTTCATGCTGTGCTCCCCTGGTGCTCCAACAGTGGCAGCCTCAGCTGCTTTGAGCAAACAGATATAGTTCATAACAACCTCGTCAACCTTTGCCACGACTTCTCTCTGTTGGTGTGAGGCTGAGGCTCCGAGTCCCCTAACCAGACACATGCAAGCTTCGCAGAGACAACAAAGCACCTGAAAGCTACAAGTCACGGCTAGCAGCATTTCCTCTGGACTGCTGTGGGCCTGTGCCATCCTCCGGCACGCCCGGCCTAATTCTTTTGACTCAACGGAGAGGAGCTGTTTATACTGTGATACATCCTGGTTAGGCATCTGGATGCCGCGCTCACAGCGACCTATGCTGGATCTCACTAATGCGATGAGCTCGCTGGCATCACGGCGGGCATCAGTGAAGCCAGAAGGGAAACCGTACATGTGGTCTTTGAGGGCGTTGATTCGTGCCAGTCGGTCACTGAAGCTCATGTTATTAAGGACCTCGCCATACAGCTGCTCGCCAGCAGCGTCCAGTGCGGAACCGCAGGGGAATATGGCTGAAGCAGCACCGTTATCCTCGAAATCAGGTCCACTGCGACTTCGTCTGGGCCTCTCCCATTCGATCTCATCCTCTTCGCCCTCACTCTTACGTTTAAAGAAACAGTAACTAAAGGGCCCATTACATCTCCAGGGACTTGTGTCCAGTTTTTGAGAGCCCTTCATTTGTTTTGCATCTTTCTGCAATGGAAAAGCCACAGATGCCCTTCTACTGTCTACCCTACTGCCTGTGGACCAGCACGTGGTGTGGGAAGACACAGAGCCTTGGGAGTAGCTCTTGGAGAGCCTCTTCCTAGTTGGTCTCCGCTGGACTTTGGTGTCACCTTGCGGGGGCAGAGACAGTGACAGGGGCTGCTGGCTCCGGCTTCGGGTGGGCTTCTCAAATAGAGCTTCAACACTACCAGAACTTGCAGTTACATTGCTAGAGCTCCGTTTAAGCTCCCGGCCCCGTTGCAGGCTACTGAAGGGATCTGTGTGTGGTAGCGTCGGGGTGACAGCCTGAATGTGGTTCTGACTCGGCCGGGACTGGACAGAATGATTGGGGTCCTGCGTGCATCCTGAATTGCTGGAACTGGTGTTGACTTGAACAGGCTGGGAAAAAGAAGGAGGTGGTGGGGGAGGTGGTGGGGGAGGTGGATTCTGAGGATTGGGTGTTGGAGATGTAATGCAAGCTCTTGGACCAGCTGATGCCTGCCTGACAAAAGCAGAAGGGTGGTCTCCCCTTCCTAGTGAGATAGTGTTGAGGTCTGCTCTTTGACCACCGGGGGCAGCAGAGAAACAAAGAGAATCGTTAGGGCGGGACTGACGAACTGCATGCTTTGACTTCAGGTCTGATCTGAACCATTCCTCTGTGCTGCTAACTTGGCTTCTTGATCGAGGTGGATGACGGCTAGTGGTACCTCCCCCCTCACGGTTTCCGCCTGTAGCAAGTCCTCCGTCGCGGCTGTTACAGCCCTCTCTCTTATAGAGGGACAGAAAGTGCTCTGGGTCCAGACCACTCCTCTCTAGCTCACTTTCTAGGCCAGAAAAGGAGCTCCTCCTCTCAGAAGTAGCTTTCCTGAAATCTAAAGTCTCATTCCTTCTCTGAGCATGCATATCAGGACTTCTCTTGAGTTTGGTAGGAAGTGTTGCAGAATAGTATGACCGTGCATTTTTGTTTGCTGCCTGCATGGCAGCAGCATTAGGGTTAACTACATTTGGGCTGAGGAATGGAGATGATATGGATGAAGGCATACACGGGCAGCGAGCGATGGTGTTTCCCCTATTTTTAACCATTTCAACAAGCTGGGGGTTGCTAGTAATAAAACGCCTTGTGTCCTTTTTAACTCCTCCTCCCATGCCCGCACTCTGCAACTTCCCTCCCTGATGCATCTGGCTGACTGTTAGATAGTTAATCAATTGCCTGTAGGCCTCGCTGCCTTCCTTCTGGTTCAGCCCTTTCAGACAGGCCTGTTGTTTAGCATGCTGATCATTCTGGAGTCGCTTGTTTCCTAAAGGGTCTTTATGCTTAGATGGTGTGGCTGAGGACGGCCGGCCCGGTTCTGACCCAGGGGAAGGTTGGTGAATATTGGGCAGCATTTTCCGAAGGAGGGCAGGATCTGCATGAGGGTGGAGGTCTTTTCCCTGAGTACTCTGGGCAGGGGTGCCAAAGGGGGTTCCGGGTTTGTTATCTTCATAGTTTAACACCCTGAGTAACGAGGAGGAGGAATTAGAAAGCGGGTGCCTTTGCAGATGGTGGTGTTTTGATTCAATGGCACCAGGGCCAAGGGGTGAATCATTTGGGGTAGCACAAACGCTACTGTTCGTGCTGCCACCAGCATCCAGTGATGAGCACAGAGAGCCCTGCAGTGAACTGTGTGCTTCTCCTTGCAGATTTGAAATCCTTTTTGCTAGATGGTATTCACACAGCCGGGCCACACTCTGTTGTCTCGAAATGGGCTGATGGTCACTCTGTAGGTCTGATCCCTGGTCTGATCCCCCTGATCTAGATTTTTTGGTTGGGGATAGCAACGATGCTACAACTAGATGTTCATCTTGCTCAGCAGCTGAAGTTCCATTATCTGCATCACAGCCCCCCAAGTTGACAACATCTGAGAAGCGGTCAGAGATAACGGAGGAAGGGCGGGGACTTCTATGATGATCACGAGGGAGGCTGTTGACTCCATGGCTCTCGGCTACAGAGTTTTCTGCTAAAAAAGAATCCTGCCTTCTTTGGCTGTCTTCTCGTTCGCAGAATGAGGTGCACTGGTCCAAGTCAAGATGGCTGCGGCTCCCAATGCTCTCTCCTCGATATCCTTCCCTTGTGCTGAAGGTGTTATACTTTCCGCTGGAGTCTGCTGATTTTTTATGGTGCTTGCCTCCTGGTGTGGTGGAGCTTGGGCGCTGAAGAGTGGCTGAGAGATTAGTCTGGGGCCTTACTTCTGAGCTGTTCGGCCGTGATGATGTGGTGCTTAACTGAGGGCTCCGTCTTGGAGGAACTGCTGGAGGATGAAGGTGTCGTGTTGGACTGCGAGGTTTCTTTTGTATTGTTCCTCCGGTACTGGGGGAGACAGGAAATTCAGTTTTTTCTTCAAGTAAAGGTTGGTATCCTTCCCTTGTGGCCACCAGAAGACGCATGTGGCTCTCGCTCAGTCGGTGAGTAGCAGCTAGTTCAGAGATCTCAGTCATCTCTGAGGAGTTGGTCTCATTACCAGAGTCTGAGGATGACTCTGGACTAAAGCCATGAGATATATAAACACCTAGGTGATAAGAGATACAAAGTTAAATGTAGATCATTCAATCTCAATTTATCTGCTGCTGAAAGCTTTGACAGTTAGAACTCTGAACATGTTTGGTTTTTTTTTCCATAGCTTATAGTGAATCCCAAATGAACTTGTGAATCTACACCAAAACAATTTTGTGCAGAAGTAGCAGTTAATATGAAATCTTAGACAGTAGTGACAGAGAACCAAGCTAAACATATTGTTAATTCTATTTAGCAGGCACAATGCACAACACATGTACCAGATATGGCTAACAGCTAACTCTGCTCCATAGACTCCTAAACAAAGGCCCTGACTGGCAGGTAGCATTAAAAGTTAGCAATTAATTGTCGTAAATCTAAATATGAAAGAAAAAAAAAGCAAGCAAATGGTAAAACATTTAAAATAGTTTGCACTGATATATGATGTAAATAGATACATAGTGGTCAAAAAGTAAGGAAAATGGTTGAAGTAGTTTGATGTAGTAGCTAAAAGTATAGTTAAAAAAATAAAATGCAAGCTAAATATACTAGAAATTGACATAGATGTCTGAAAATAGGAATATGATTGATTTTTAATTTTTAAGCCAAGGTATGGCTAACTGTCGAAATTCCTAGCTAAAAGTCTTGAGAGCTTGAAAAAGAAGGCAAGTGTACTTCTACAAGATGTTTCACCTCTCATCCAAGAACCTTTCTGAGTTCTATAAAATGGTGTAGAGTCTCGGGTATTTAACCCCTAGTGGGAGTTGTCCCCTTTGGAAGTAGTCCTGAGCACTGTAGATCATATGAGTCATCGCATGAGCTGAGGTATGAAAAAGGGCATGAGTATCATCACATGGGGTTATGGGTGAAACCACTGCAAGACCTTGCCCCAATCCATCATGTGGTCTATGGAGATCACTGAGGCAACATATTGGGGTCGCTGAAGGTTGACACTCCATCATTTTTAAGAACTAATGAAACTGTCCAGTTGTCTTCTTTTTCAAGCTCTCAAGATTACTATGCCCTAGATGACTGGGAACCTAGAAAGACATAACTAGATATTTGTTTTTGCCAACTGGTTAGGGAATATGCATTTTTCCTTAGTGACAGGTGGATGCCAAGAGGTCATTGATCAGTCTTTAGGCTTGCGTGACTAGTACTTTAGCAATAATTTTCTCAGAGACTGCCATTAACTTCCAGCCGCTCCTTGTGACCAGTTGAGAATATAAATTTTTTCCTCATAATTGGTGGTTTTCAGAGGGTTGGACCAGTCTTTAGACCTTTGCGACTGTCTTACATGCTTGATCCCACAGTGTCATCATGGTTGTCACACATCCAAAATGGTGGGCAAGTTAATGTCACGTGGTGACTTGTCTGCAAAACCTTAATTAGCAAATGTGTAGCCAGCAGTTGAAACTGAGCTAAAACGGAAGATGAACATATGAAACTTTTAGCAACAAGTAATAGTTACACTTTTGAAAGTATCAGTAAACATAATTAACAGCTTAAATGGATGTTGAAGGTTAGGGTGGAACTGTAACTAAAACTAGTGGATTAATGTTTGAATTACTCCACTAGTTGCTACTCAATGTTGACCAAGCTAGTAGTTATGGTTAATGATTGAGGCAGTTTACAGACCATAGCTGCTAAATATGTAATTGTTAAGACTAAATTGTAAGCTGAAAGCAATTCAGATCTAGTTTAAAATGAGTTTAAAGTCCATTTGACAGAGCTAGGGAGGGAGAATTTAAGACAAAGAAAAGTTGGTAACCACTGGCTCAGTCTAAGTAAAAGTGCTGTAATATTCAGTGCTAAATAAAGGCATCAACATTACTTTGCTGCATTAGTATTCAACAGACCTGGATTGTTACCGCTGGGTGGTGGCGGTGGTGGAGGCTTCTGTTCAGAGACAGAGAGAGCTTGCAGCGCTTGCAGTGTATTCATAACCGCATTTTCCAGTCCTCTCTCCCCTCCCCTGCTCCCTTCCCCCTCCCCATGCGTTGGAATGGCATCGATTAGTGAAACCGGAATATCGTCATTTTCACGTGTGCTTAGAGGCCTTCCCTCAGGTGCAACGTCCTCATCCAAACTGTCGCGAAAGCCTGGTGGTGGTGCTGCGATCGCAAGGTTGAGCGTCTGCAGCAGGGTGTCGTCTTCATCATCGTCAACACCATCATCGCCCTCGGGAGGAGGCAGTGACGTCAGGTCGATAATGTCGTCCGTAGAACCGGAAAGTGTGAGAAAGGTAGCTTTGCCGGCTGCTGTGGGTAGGCCCTCCCCTTGGATACCATCATGTGTCTCATCACCCACTGGCGTCCCCCCAGTGGAATCTTCTTCACAAGAATCCTCGTCTGGATCACTTGTATTGCCACGATAAACTAGTTCCCTTAGCTCCTCACTACTTTCCTCGCTTATGATGTTACTATAGACGTGCTGAAATGGCTCTCTGTCCTGTTGCTGAAAGTATGTGTTGTTGTGCAAGTAGGGCGGTCCGTAGTTGGGTACCTCCGGGCTCTCTAACAGTCTTTCATAGCGTAAGTTCTTAAATTTATTGAGGGGTGGGTTCCCCTCAAAAATAAATGACACTTTGGCGCTCCGAGGTGAGTCTTGAGTTTTGTGTCTGGTAGCTGGAGGCAGAGGAGGGGGCAACGGACTCCTTCGGTTCTCAAGGTCTCTGTCAGGGTTTGGTGGTTCGTGGAAGTAAGGAGAAATGCTGTTTTCCCTTTGCCCATTGTCTGAGTACTCAGAGTCTCTGCTGTAGATCTCTACTTGACCAGGCTCCTCATTGTCCCCAAAAGATGTGCTGTAAGGCCACTCCAGGACACGTTCCTGACCTGCAAGGAACACAAGATTTTATTGCTTTACCTGTTTTGTATTTGATTTTGATTCAACTTTAAAGACCTGTTTCAGTTAAGCACTCTATTTCAAAGCAGGGTTTATGCAGCACTGTAAAACGTCAATTTTTAAATGTGTGACCTCGCAACAAGTTTTCATAGTTTCATGTGGAGTATTTTTCCAGACCATCAACATCTACTACTCAAGTGAAACTTTAGATATCCACCAATTTGTCCTAAACAGATGGCTTGTAATCCATATTATGTCACATACACACAGACAGGGCTGGGCCATATCATACCATAACATATCCTATTCACGGTAATACCGGTATAATGTTAGGCGATAAGAAAATGAAATATCGCAATGGAATATGGTTAAAACGCGCCTGCGCAGTGCCTTTGTTTTCATACGCACATGGCAGAAAAAGCATGGCGGCAACGGAGAATGGTAAATGGCCTGTATTTATATAGCGCTTTTCTAGTCCCTAAGGACCCCAAAGCGCTTTACATATCCAGTCATCCATCCATTCACACACACATTCACACACTGGTGATGGTAGCTACATTGTAGAGAGACAGTGCCCCTTATAATTCTTCTGTATGAATTCTGGTTGTACTTACTGACCTCGAACCGATTTGTGGTACACGGCGCTCAAAAATCTGTAAAAAAATGTTTTAGTACGACTTTGCTAAGCTACGAAGCCACTCCGCTTGATGGATTGTCGGAGCATTACAGCTATCGTAGTCAGGAACCTTGCA